GTACTCATGGTTCAGTAAGTTCCATTATTTGAATGGGCAGATATGGAAGTGAAGTTGATAGGCAAAATGAAGAGTTTCCGTTTTTCTTCATTTATTTCTATTTTTTTCAACGGCATACAGGATGGAGGAAATATTGAATGCGACTTGCAATGAAAGTTTGATGTTTTCGTGGAAATTTCCTATAACCTGGGGGTCTCCTAGAGCTCCTCTGCTCTGCATCAAAATTTTAGTAATTTACAAAACATGAGTACCCATATGACCCTCTGCACGGGAAAAAAATGCATGGTAAGGCATGGAAACAGGGTTTCTGCGTGGGGTAGGGGATTACGATTCTCAGCGTAAGCCACGTCGCCTACTTTTTAACGTAAACATGCCGTTCCCAAAAACACCTCGAAATCGATCCCTCCGACTAAAACGAATAATCGAACTTTCCTCTCATTTTCCGGAAAATTCCAATCCAACGTCGGAATCGGGTTTCCGTTCACAGAAATAAATTTCCGTCTCATTCTGGTTTTCCTTAATTTCCTTCATTATTCAAAACGGTTCATTTCTATTTGAAATACTTCATTTTGAATGGAATTCAATTTCCTTACGCGCCTTCCACGTATCAATCCGTGAGTATTTGGTGCATCCATATCACGGAGGAACAGTATTTTCTATTCGCTAACGCGATTATTCGATACCTTCTTATAATCACTTTCGGAAAATATCGCAACCAATTCTCGCCTCTCTCTCTTCTCAAAAAGAGAGTGTTCGAGGAGAACGACCACAAGTAACACAGCATGTTGATGAAACGTTTCTGAAATGTTGCCTATGTTGCTCTATGTTGCAAGTTGCTGTAAAACATTGAGATAACATTGCTTCAATGTTTTCACTTGGAATGTTGTTGCGACACTTCTACGAATGTCATTGCAACATTTGCTATCAACATTGAGAGAATGTTGACATTCTTGACATCGACAACGTAGCGACAACATTCTGATACAACATGGACTTAGAAGTTTTAGGGAATCGTAAAGTCGTCCTCCTTGCCACGAGATGGAGACGTAGGTCTTGCTTTTCTCAGTGCACAAAAGTGCCCTTCTTCCTTTCCCTGGAATCGTCCCGCACGGGAATGTTTAGTACCTTGCCAAATGTTTCACATTGTCTCATTATAGGAGTCAATGAACACGGACACATCATCACTTGTTATCTTCATTTTCCAGACAGATTAATGGGGTCAAGAAAAAAAAACTCATATTCCCAAAAAGAACCCTTTCCAAGAACTTGTCGAGTTCATCCTACAGGACAATAAAAACGATGGTAGAGAGTCTGCGATCTCAATACTTCATTCATATCCTCATTCTGGATACCAACTGTGGAAACGAAGGATTGATCTTGAGGACACTCCATAGAACATTGCGGTCGGACCTTCTCCTGTATTGTGCAATTTAGCACATCCAGGGGAAGATCACCTACAGTCTCCTACCGGTACATGATGCAGTACTGTATTATGCGTGGGCAGAGGGTAAAACCAGTACAGGCTTCGTCCTGTTGATGAGAATTTCTGGGTTGAGAAGTAAAGTATCAATATATGGTACGAAAGGATGAAATAAATAATTTAATATTGGTCGAATATCGGTCCAGTTCAGGACCAGTTGACAATGAGACAATGTGAAACATATGGCAAAGTACTAGACATTTCTGTGCGGGACTATTCCAGGAAAAGGGAGAAGGGCACTTTTGTGTACTGTGAGAAAGCGAGATTTACGTCTCCATCTCGTGGCAAGGAAGACAACTTTACAATTCTTTAAAACTTCTAAGTCCATGTTGTATCAGAATGTTGTCGCTACGTTGTCGATGTCAAGAGTGTCAACATTCTCTCAATGTTGATAGCTAATGTTGCAATGACATTCGTAGAAGTGCTGCAGCAACATTCCAAATGAAAACATTGAAGCAATGTTTTCTCAATGTTGTACAGCAACTTGCAACATAGAGCAACATAGGCAACATTTTGGAAACGTTTCATCAACATCCTGTGTTACTTGGGTAGGTGCCGTCCTCGATTCCCATGCGGTTCGACATGCCCTATGCAACCACGAGCGCTCATCGGTGCCCATTGCTTTCACTGCCTCTGCCCGATTTTTATTCATACCAGGAGCTTTTTCATTCTTCAAGCTGGCGATGGCTTGTAGAATTTCCTCCATGGTGGAACTATTCTCTTTGCAGCTAAGCTCCGAGTAGGGTGCATTTTAGTACGCCGTGGGTGGATTTAAGTACTCCTTAAAAATGTTCCTTCCTTCTTCAAAGTATTTCCGCTTCAGAACCCAAGACCTTTCGTTTCGGGCTTTCGCGACCCGGAGAGTATGTTGCCTGCCTTGCCGGAGCCTTCGAATGGTTTGCCAGAACACCTTCTCAGACGCCGTCTACAAATATAATTCATTCTAGGATGAACAGTAATAAAATGAAGAAGTTTGATTAATTGGTTAATATGCTATAGATGGTGAAATGTTTCCGAAACTTTTAATTGTTACAAAACTATTTAAACCTCTTATTGAAGTAACCAGGACGAAAACACTACATGAGAAAGAAGCTCCTCGTTCCCCATTAGCTTATTTTGCTTTTCATTCTCTTCTCCAGTTCACGATGGTGGAGACTATCGCGACTGCAGTGCAAGACGTCTTCCCGGGGACTCGGAGCCATAAGCACCTGGTGGTCGTGGGATTGTGTTCCATCGGGTTCCTCCTGGGTCTCAGCATGTGCTTTGACGGTGGTTTCTATATGTTTGTCCTATTTGACAACTACTCTGCCACTTGGTCTCTCATGATACTCTCCATCTTAGAAGTTCTTCTCATCGCTTACGTCTACGGTGAGTCCTAATCTCTCTGGACTCAAACATGCATAATTCAGAACCTTAGTTGAATAAATGCCCAAAAAATGTGTTTCGTGGAAATTCTCAATTCCAGGGGAAAAATCCAAAAGATGAGCTAGTTTGTGCCTTTTCTTAATTTCATGTCTTTTACTGGAGGATCATTCCATGATAAATCGCCCCAAAAATGTGCAAATCAACGCCCTTCCATCTCCGATTTTAATTATATTTTGGTATGTCTCCTCCTCCCAAACTCGGAAATGTCAAACTTAAGCCTTATTGGGTCAATAGGTCTTCAGGGTGGTCAAACTTTGGGTCACCTGCTAACATCCGATTTTGATATCCTTGTAATTTCTTCTTGCGTATGGTAGTAGCAACTATAGTTTCATGTCTAAGTTCGAGAGCCAGGTTGCAGAGTTCATATCCAGTGCATGTAGCGCCGCGATTCCTCCGTCGAATCTTCGGGTTTCGCAGTGGTTCACTATAAGCTCCACTATCTGGTCGGGATGTCCGCAGTCGCTCGCAGGATTGTCTTTGTACCGCTATTTGTACAGATGGTGCCCGGTCCTGGCGTGTGTTGAGGAAGATTCGGTTCAACGTAGTCCATTATTTCCGGGACAGGTGGAAGCCCGGCGGCTCACTGTTCGGATCCTTGAAGGAAATTGTTTGGCACGTAGAGTTGTCATTCTTTCCTCCACTCTTCCTTAGCGTCGAATGACGCTGCCATCAGATTGCGAGCTTTTGGCCAGAACGGTTTCCGCGATTTCAGTCTGACTGGTGGTGGGTGTCCGAGATCTTGGTAGACGGGGAGGTCTTCCGGATTCCTCGGATGTCGAAGTACTCTCGCAGACAATTCTCACGCCTAGGGATTTCAGGCGGGTGGGAGGTTCGACAGTACGGACAACCAGGGCAGAGGGATGGACGAGAGTGACCTCATTGTTGGATTGAGGATAGCGTTGAGTTTCCGTGTGTGGCTGCTCTGTGGTCACACGGGCGCACAGTACTCAGCTGTGGAGTAGACGATAGCAGGGCTGCAGGGCAGAGTGGTCTTGGTTTCGCCGTTACTGACAGGACTTCGACCCCGATGTGAACTAATGATGGCCTGTGTTGATTGTGCGGGAAATCGGTGAGTACCACGCGAGTACAGAGGTAGCGGTTGTCTGTTCTCGTCAGCGGACGTAAAACAGAGGTCTGGGTTGGACTCTCTTTCAGCGGCCCGACTGGAAAGTCCCTCTCTGCTTTGGATCGAAAAGCAAGGTATGTTCTTTGGTGGATGCCCATTCCACCAGTCTTTCGCCTGCGTTGTTGCCCGCTGGGTAACCCCATCGGGTGTGATGGCTGCTGAAATCCCCAACATGGACTGCGGAGTGGTTCGTTTTCGGCATCTCTGGTGTGGGCCAGTTGTGCGTCTGCGGCTTGTAGATGTTGGTGAGTGTTATTTCGCCAACATTTACAGCTGCTGTGCTGATGCCGTTGATGGAGTAAGGTGACGTGCGTCAAAATTTGCCGGGTGACTGTGGCAATCCCAAAACTCAATAACTATTTATGCTATAACCTCGATTAAGGTGTCAATTCACTAAACAATTTTTTTGAGAAATCCAAAAGCATCATAGCAATATCATTTGAGCAAGAAACATAATGTCATGAGCATATTTTGGTAACAGTGGCTATGAGTGTCTTTATCTTTGGAGTGACTATGCATTTCCACTCCTTCAGGATATGACAAGTTCAAGGAGAATCTTGCTGAGATGATGGGACCTAATCATTGGTTCTTCAATTACTACTGGTCAATTACCTGGCGTATCATCTCACCTATAGCACTCACGGTAATTGGAAAATTAATATGATTCATCGCATCATATTAATTTTCCATCACATAATCTCCTGCCCTTCGGTTCATCGTGCTTTTTTTCCTTGCATCTTCTTTTTAGGTGGTCCTGTTCTTCACATGGATTCAATACGCCCCAGTGAAAGTAGGAGATTATTTGTTCCCATCCGAAATTGAGGGACTTGGATGGTGCATGGCCTTCATATCTATCCTGCTGGTACCAATATTTTCCGTGTATCAAATCTATAAAGCAAAAAAGGAATCGAAGGTGAGAAGACACAGGGTTTCGTAATAAATAATGGGAAAATTGAATTTGATAGAAAAAAAAAATATTTTTGTGTTAGCCTCTAGTCTCATTGTGGCAAGTGCAAGACTCCTTCTACGACCACGCGCGGGAGTCCAGCTCTATAGAGTTCTCCCGAGATGCCGCAGTAAAGAAGTTAGAAGAAAGCTATGACAATCCTGCTTTTGACGGTGGTGCCCTGTCTCAGTCCAAGCTTGCACATTCATATGGTTCCGTCAGTGAAGACGCTGTCACTCGCAAGTGATAGGCAAGCACAGGTAAAGAGGGATTTAGTCACAATCAATACTCATTCCATTTAGGTTCGCTCGGCGATGGGTGTCCGAGATGCCTTATTTTTGAGAGTATAGGAGGCAAATGCTGGAAGAACAAGAGTCCTATGTTGTCTTTCAGACTTTAAATGCATCCTAATTTTGCCATGAATATGTCAAGAGGACCCTGGAAACCCCCAATATCGGTGATTCTGCATTAGTATTTTCCAGCTTTAAATACATCTGGAGTACTTACATTAATGTTAGCTCTCTACTACCGCATCATTATTTCTTTATTACATTGGTCTGTGTTCTTATTAAATATGTCCACCAATTCTATGCACAGATCTTCACATCTTCATTGACTGCTACCATTTTAGGTTGTCCCCCAGTCTCTTCTCATTGGTCTCGTGATGATAATTGTTTTCTAATTCAGTAAGATCTGTAAGATCTTACTGAAGTATCTGTAAGATCTGTAAGATCTGTAAGATCTTACTGAAGTATCTGTAAGATCTGTAAGATCTGTAAGATCTTACTGAAGTATCTGTAAGATTCTGTCTTGCTTCTTGTTGTTCAGACTGAGCCTTGATTCCCCGGCCTAGTGGTTTGAAAAAAGGGTACCTGACAAAAAAAGAGAGATTGGTTCTCCTGCACTTAGTCAATCAGGAATGTGAGGTATAGAAGTACATATTTTGATGCGATTGTATATTTCATGTTTTCTTTCATTCGAAATACAAGTATTATGTTTGTATGCGTTCTGATGTTGCATTTTACTTTGAATTATGTGAGGATTAATTATTTGTATCTTGTATTGACTCCAACATCGTCTCTCCGCTGTCTTGTCTTCCCATTCATCACAGGATATAGATGTGCGTGACTTCTAATGCTATCCTCGAGAGCTTTGACCATAATTTCCCATTGCAATTTCTCTTTAACCCCTTAACTGGGAACTTTGGTTTGCAAAAGATGGATCTGTGATGGGACCTTTTTTCTCTGGTTTTTTGCTTGCTAGACCCTAATGACTTTAATTAAGCATAAAAATTTAACTATAATAGATA